GGTTTGCGTGTGTGAGAGGTGTGTCAGCTTTATTATATGTTTTTGCATGAATTCTGTGAGTTAATAAAAGAACAGGAGTGCGAGGACAACACCTACACGCGCTTTTAAAAAGAAAGGGAGCAATACCTGTGAGTAAATGGTGCTTTTTGATGAAGAATTTCAGTGTTGTTAGCTGTTAGCTTGGCCTGGAGGAAGGCGGATAGGCCTCGAATCCTCGGTGTGGTAGTCAACTGAGAGGCGGGGAGAGGCGCGTAGAGGCCGGTCACAAATTAGACTCGCGTGGCCAATAAATACGGGAAACTGGAGAGACACTGTTACACGCAGAGAGCTCTTATTAATAGTGACCGTAGTTTAAGATTAGCACAGAGTGCATGTTTGCAGGCCACAACTTTAAAATGCATCAGTTGCAGGTTTATTGGGTTAAGTTACCTTAAATGAATACAGCAGCCATGCTGCAAATCTTCTATTCGTCGAGGATATAGTTTGTGTTCATTTTTTTCTTGTATTTCTGATGTGTTGACCAGGATGAGGGCACAACTGAATAATTTAGATACTGGTTGCTGTAAGACGGTATAACGCCAACAGACTGGGTAACAAAATGACAAAAGATTTGATGTAAAACACTCTGTAAAAAGAGTTAAAATGAAAAGGGCTGTTACCTGACAACAGGTGTAAAGTCCCTTTTGATTTCAAATATTGATTGCATTTCCCTCGATTGTAGTCTGAAAGACGATGACAGCGGAGACCACGACCAGGACCAAGGCTCACCGAAAGACGGTGAGAAGGAAAAAAACGAAGATGAAGAGAAGGAGCAGAACACTTCCAAGAAAAAAGTGAGGCCGCTAAAGTCTTACACAGATGTATGTGCAGATTGTGCTACTATTTGTTGAACAAAGGTACAGTTTCTTTAGTTTTGGCTTGTTTGTTAAACTATAAAATTTTGAACCTCTGGAAATGAATTAAACAGTAAATATAATTTTTGAAGAACCTCTTAAAGCAAAAAGTCTGCACTTTAATCACATGTTAATTATTAGATTTAAAATCCACTTTGGTGGTGTACAGAGGCAAAATGACAAATTATAGCTCTGAGTTTGTATAAAGTTAATATGTCAATGAGCTGTACAAGTTACTCTCTCATTTCCGGCAGATGGTGGTGCCAGGAGCAGGAGAACACCCTCTCCAGTACAATTACACCTTTTGGTACTCCAGACGCACCCCAGGGAGACCAGCCAGCACTCAGAGCTACGAACAGAACATCAAACAAATTGGCAGCTTTGCTTCGGTTCGTCGCTCCTCATCACATCTTTATATGGCTTAAAACAGGAGCCAGTGCACTTTTCCTTTTGTTTATGTGCCCATGCAGAGCTGCACACTCCACATATTGACTTGTTTTCGACTAATTATTACAATTGTCCATCCCAGGTGGAGCAATTTTGGCGTTTCTATAGTCACATGATCCGACCTGGCGATCTGACAGGTCATAGTGACTTCCACCTCTTCAAAGAAGGCATTAAACCCATGTGGGAGGTAAACACACTGGCTGATATCTTCTATTTGCTCTAGTTGTTTGGTTATGCGTGAAAGGCCTGATCTGAAATTGTGTATGTTTAGGATGATGCTAATAAGATGGGTGGGAAGTGGATCATTCGTCTGAGAAAAGGCCTGGCGTCTCGATGCTGGGAGAACCTGATCCTGGCTATGCTCGGAGAACAGTTCATGGTAGGAGAGGAGATCTGTGGGGCTGTGGTGTCAGTACGTTTCCAGGTAAAGCCAAAAGCAGACACACTCGGTTGCACATGGTCACTAATTGCCTGCCCTAAAGCTCACACATTCCTCCTCTTCATGCTGCTTCTCGCCAGGAGGACATCATCTCCATCTGGAACAAAACAGCCAGTGACCAGGGGACCACCTCCCGCATCAGAGACACCCTGCGCAGAGTCCTCAACCTGCCCCCCAACACCATCATGGAGTACAAGACACACACAGACAGCATTAAGTATGTATGTCTTCTCCTTTTTTTATTTTCTTCTCCAGCTTTTCTTTCTCTTCAGCTCATTCCATAAACCTGCATGCTCACACACATTTTCCAACCAAAGAGGCAACGAGAGAGTACACTTACATGTTGCCTTTTTAATGGCTTGTTTTTAACATGCTCAGGTGATAAGATGATGGTTTTCTGTAAGTTAGATTTTTATTTTGACAGTATGTTTGGATTTTAAGGGAGAAATAACAAACACAATTATCAAAATGTTTTATTTTATTGTTTGAAGTATTATTCCAAATTGAAATGTATAACTGTACACACAACCACATATCTTGTGCACGTCTATATACTAATATAATTTTACAAACTCCCATATTTTTCTATTGGTTCATTATTAAAAAGACAGTGAAACAAATGCCCATTTAACTGATTATAATGGTTTTCCATTGCAGTCTTAACCTTGAGTCAGTATTTCTTCAGTATACAAGAACTCAGTTCTGCCTTTTGTTCCCATTTTCATGCTTTTCAAAATCCAAGTGGGGAAAAAAAACAACTAGTTCTGTGTCCATGTTTGTCCTTTGTAGCTTTGAATGTGAATGCCTAGTATCATGGCTTTCAAGTCCTTTTACACAATCTCTATATCCTCACGTAGATGTTGTTGCTCCATTTTTTTTCGCTTGGCGCTTGATATTAATGAGATGGGATGTTCTTGACACACATTGTTAAAAACTTCTGTTTATAATGGCCAGCCTGTCCAAAGAAAGGATAAAAAGCTAAAAGACCAACTTCTTCTGCACGATGGCACAGAAAAGATGCACAGGGATTATTTTGAGCTCTGAATCGTGCAAAGCTTCTCTAGTAAAGTCTAGAAATACCAGTATGGAGCTAAGAATAATAAGTCCCATTCATTCTAACATGGCCTGTATAAATCTTTATAATATTGAAATGACCTCTGTTAGTATATTTCTTTATTTTGGCAGCTTTAGCTCATAAAGCTAAGCCTAAAAGTTTTTATTTTCATCATTAGTTTTTGGTATCTGTGAATACAACTATTTTTTTCCCCATCTAAAGCTCTCATTCAGTTGACTGATGGGCTTACGATTCTTCAAGGAAAATAATTATTTCTTTATGCTTTTTACTGCGAATTATAATTTACTGCATCCTCCTCTGTTTGCAGAGCATGGGAAGACTTCCATGGTCTGGTGAATGCTAGCGGAGGACGTTAGCCCCCCCTCACCGAGATGCTCAGCGAAGAGTAAGAACTCCTGCTGTGGGATTTCACATGAACAACAACACAACCTGTGTGATGTAGTTAGACTCTACTGATGTGGTCTCTGTTTGCGGTGTGCAGGTGTGTGCATACGGGATGTGTTGGGGGAAGCCGAGTCCAGAGAAGGGCAGCTCTGCGTGGATTGGCACTGCGTAATGCGAAGACAGAGCAAAAGTCGGGGACCGAGGCCAGGAGACCGTTGGGTCTTTGTGTCAAATTGGAAATGAACAGAAAAGCCTTTCAACAGAGCACTGAAACAGGTCTATGAAAGAGGTGATTTTAATCAACTGGAAGAGGAAATTACAGTTTTGTTTCTTTTTTTTCTTTTTTTTTTTTAGTAATGCAAGTTGTAACATCTTTTAACCAGTGAGTGACTGGTGTGGGCTGTTCTGGTCATGAACGCTCGACAAAGTGTGCTTTAAATACAACAGAATCAGTTGTACTCTATATGATTTTATTGCTTAACGTGACATTTCACCTGCTGTTAAAATAGGTGTGCTAATCAGTTTTATTGGGACTCAAACAGGGTTATTATAACACAGTGCTGTATTTTAACTACAATTCCTCTGGTCATTTTGGACTAGAACAAATATTAATGTTGTTTAAATGCAATCCACATCAAAGATCACTAAATACGATTTTTAAAAAGTTGTATCCCAAAGGATGAGGATCCTGTGTTGGGCAGGTTTCTATAACCGGCATCTTTAGAATGAACTGCCAAGCTGCCTAAATCACTGTGCCTGGCCTCAAGCCCGACCTGAACCAGGTTTCCCTTCCCTGCCTTCTCCTTTCTTTACCCCACCTTTTAAAGGAAGGGCTCTGCTTTAATGTTAAAGGTGTATAGGAGTCCTGAAACACTGATATTCACTCCTTTTCCATTTTGTAGTCCACGAAAGAAAACGGGGCCCAGGGTCTGTTACAGTTTTTATCCTGGGGAGCTTTTTTTTTTTTTTTTTTTTTTTTAATATGTTAAGAAAGAGCCTACAGTTTGTTGAAAAACTGTAATGCTGCCCTTATTTGTTATTGTGATGATGGATGCAGGTGTGTGTGTGAGTGTGTGGAAAGCGAGGAAACACTGTTGGATGTACACCTGATGGATTATAGCAATAAATGGTAAATATGCATCTGCTGCTAAAGATGGTTTAGTGCCATTTTTCTTTTATAAACGCTGGAACCGAAGCTGTGGAGTTTGCAAGAAGCCAAGATTCCTCTTTATCCGCTCTTCTTTCTTCCCAGACCGGAAAGCTTGGGTGCCCGTTGGTCTGTAAATCATGTGATGATGCTGGTCAGCTCATTTCAAAAAACATATGATTCTGCAGAGAAATCATTCAGACAGGTTAGAAACAGTGTTAGTTTTTCCATCCATCTATTCGCTTCCGCTTATCCTTTTCAGGGTCGTGGGGGGGCGCTGGAGCCTATCCCAGCTGTCATAGGGCGAGAGGCGGGGTACACCCTGGACAGGTCGCCAGTCTGTCACAGGGCCAACACACAGGGACAGACAACCATTCGTACTCACATTCACACCTAGTGACAATTTGAATTATCCAATTAACCTATCCCCACAAGCTGCATGTCTTTGGATGGTGGGAGGAAGCCGGAGTACCCGGAGGGAACCCACGCAAACACGGGGAGAACATGCAAACTCCACACAGAAAGACCCCGGCCTGATGTTGGAATTGAACTCAGGACCTTCTTGCTGTGCGGCCACAGTGCTAACCACCGTGCTACGTGTTAGTTTTTCTTTGTATTAAAATGTCTTCTTTATGTTTTTTAGAGAAAGAAAGCAAGTGTGCAACGGGGGGGGAGAAGAACGGTCTGAACACTTTTTGGCTCAAAGTAATAATTTACTCCTTAAAGAATCTTTACATAAGCAGATTTTTGATGCTTGCGATTGATACCCGAGGAAGATCCCACACATCAAAATGTTGCTTTTGTTACATGTAAACATGTTGGTTGTTTGCATGTAACATCAATATAAATTATGATCTCCAGTTGTAATGCAAGTTCCAATTAAACCAAATCGTGAAAGGCTCCTTACGAGCCAATACATCAAATATTATATTCTAATATTACAGTGCACCCATCTGGGATCATCTTAATATAGTGTCCTGATTTTTATACTGAACCGCTGATTTCCAGCTAGTATACAATGATCCCAAGGCAGGGATGTCAAACATACAACCTGGGGGCCAGATTGGCCCTACCAAAGGATCCAATCCGGACCAAAAGCATTTAGGAAAATTAAAAAGAAAAAAACACCAAATAAGGAGGGCATGAACTTAAAATATGTTTAATTGCTCAGTCAAACTAGAGTGAAAATAGGAGAAACCTCCTTGCAACTTAAAAAACAAAAACCTTTATCAAAGCATTTAAAAAAAAAAAAATTAACGGTATTTGTAATGACCAGCTGCTTACCAAGCGATGGAGCGTGTCGGTGATCATGAGACGATTGCCAAGATTGCCGGGTGGGAAGGAACTTGTCTTCTAGACATATTGCATCTTATTGCCAATTTGACCTCCATTCAGTCACAGAGTATGCAGATTCTGTCTTATTGTGGTTTTATTGATGTATTAATGCACAAAAGTCATTTTGAAGACAGCAGCTGACTGCAAGTGGTTGCAGACCTGGTCTTCAAAGCAACCACCAGTACAGATGGACTAATGATACTGTTAGCTAAATGTACTTTTATATTAATATGATTAACAGTTGAAATCATTACCTAAAATTACAAATATATAAGTTATTCACTAAAATTATAGAATGAAATTAAAATTGTTAGCTGCTGTTTGAAGTAAGTATGAATGAACAGATAAAACTGTTGCTGAATGTTTATTCATTAGTAAGCTAATTTATTCATAACACATACTTGCAACTAAGTCTTCAAAGTCTGAGGTAGAAACTTTGGGAAAGGTATAATTATATTGTGTATGACAGAACATCTTCCCACTGATGGACACACGTGCTTACCAACAGGAAAGTGGCTGCCAGGAGAAGGAGTTTGGTGTGTGACTCCATACTGAGTGGAACTAGAAGATGAAAATAGAATACATACAGTTGTACTAAAGCCGTGATTAAATAATAAACTATGTTTGTGACCTTGGTATACTTAGAAATGTTAAAGAAGTCTGATACTAGCCAGAGAGATGCAGTTAATGTTTGGCAATTATCTTTTTCTTTTTAAAAAAAAAAAACAATCTAGTGGTGTTAGTTGATGTCCCTGTAAATATCATGGAACAGTCTTTTTTTTCATTTATTTTTTATAAATTAAAAGCATTCACCGGTGACTTTATTAGGTACACCTGTTTGGCTGCTTGTTAACACAAATCTGACCAGCTAATCACTAGAGGTGGGAATCACCATACATCCCACAATACGATACTATCACAACACTTAATGCACGATACGATATTATTGCAACACTTAACGCACGATATGATACGATATTATTGCAATTTTTTAAAAAATATTTTTAAATATATTCAGATTCTGTACATAAAGGTTAACTTTATCAATATTCATTTTATCTAATATCAAAGTCTCACACTCAGTCTTTCTCTCATTTCAGTCAGTTTTATTGTTGACAAACTGAACGGTTTGTATTACAGTCTAGTCCAACTTAACTGAATGCAACCATCTGGTACAATTATAGCTATTCTGAACTATGCAATTTATGAAAACTATGCAGCCCATTCAGCAACTGAAGAATTTGAAAGTAAATTAAAACAAAATATAATTTTACATTAAATAAAGTTTTAAACTTAATTAAAATAAAACATGTCTTAAATTAAAATAAGTAAACTGTCATGTTTATTGCTGCCAAAAAAAGTTAAACACATTTGGACAGTGAAGTCAGGATTCTTGCTCAGAAAAAGGATCAACATGCTCTGAAGTCAGAGCATGTTCCATTCCACAAACTTTTTTTGTAACAAAATATCGATTTCTGCTGTCCCTGTATCGATACATTATTAGCAAACAAAATATCACGATACTACACAGTATCGATTTTTTCCCCCCACCCCTACTAATCACAAGCCAGCAGCTCGAAGCTTTTAGGCATGTGGTTGTGATGAAGACGATCCACTGACGTTAAAGTTAAAAGTACCTTGTTGATGCAAGATGTCAGAGGAGAATGAGCAGATTGCTTCAAGCTGACAGGAAGGCAACACAAAGTCAAATAATACTAACTTTATTATTAAAGTTATATAGCACTTTTCTAAACAGAGTTGCAGCCAACGTATGCAGAAGACAGTGTCTGAATGCACAATACATCAGGCATGCTCTTGCATACCTAGCAGAGCTACAGCAGACCACACTGGGTGCCACTCCTGTCAGCTATGAACAAGAAGTGCATTGAGGTGACTGTTGTTGAGGTTTGGTGCTATGAATAAAACTGAATGTTGTTGATTTCTGCTGCAACATTCAGTTGTTTCAGAATTTAAAATGAACATTGTGGAGTCATCGATCCATCTTGCCTTGTATAAATGGTTCAGGCTCCTGGTGGTGTAATGGTGTGCCAAATATTTTCTTGGCACTCTTTGGACTTAGTATAAACAGCTTTTAAACACCACAGCCTACCTGAGTATTGTTTCTGACTGTGTCCATCCCTTTATAAGCACAGTGTACACATCTTCTGATGGCACCATGTCTGAAAGTGCAAACTGTTTTTTTGTTTTGTTTTGTTTTTAATGTGACAGTGAGCTCACTGTGCTCCAATGGCCTCCAGTCACCAGGCCTCAATGTAATGGAGTAACTTTGGGATGTGATGGAAAAGGAGATTCACATCATGAATGTGCAGCCAAAACTTCTGTTCCAACTGTGTGATACTGTCATGTCATGATAGACCAAAGTCTCTGAGGGGTGTTTGCAGCAACTTGTCGAGTCTCTGGCACAAAGACTTAAAGCACCTCTGAAGGCAAAATATACTGCAGTTTAGTACTAGCGAGGTGTACCTAATAAGGTATCCGGTGAGTGTGCTTTATTGTATTGGTCTGTTGTTTTTCTTTCAGTCATGTTTCTTATCTGTTCAGTAAATAAAAGTATCAGATCTGAAGAGGTCGATTAAAGTAAACTTGGTCCGAAACTAAACTTTGGGAAAGGTAAATGTTCTCTGGCATCCTGTCAAAGACAAATTAGGAATGTAATTTACTGAGGTAGAACTCACCCTCCAGCCCAAAGTATTCATGGTCCATGTTGTGTTCTTCGTTGAAGCCAGGCCATTTCTTCCATATCGTGCCTATTTCCTCACCAATGTTGGAGACAATCTACCGGTAGTGTATAATTTAAAACTCCATGAAAGCACTACTGCAATGTTACACTTTTCAGTCACACATATACTTTTATGAGTTATAAATATTCCTACCTGGAATTGTTGGTTGGAGAAGCAACGGCATGGACAGCAGGAGCCCTGGATTCTGATGGTAGACGCCCCTCCTGAAGCGCAGACCTCCAGGAGGGGCGTAAACATGCTCCACCTGAAAACATGGTCACCAACACACAGCAACTCAGTAACCGTGCACTAAGCCTCCTGGCAAAGAGACTGGCCAGTGCTTCACACAGAGGCGCAGCCCAGTCTTGATGGTTGGATGATTGCATTTTCAGCTGTCATGATTCTGCAGCACCAAAGCAATTGTTTGCTCGGTGTCAGAAGAGTTCAATTTGGGACATGCTTTATTAGAGCACAACTGAGAGAATATTTATACCAAGTCGAACTCTGGTCACTGAAACCTCTGCCAGGCCAGTCCTAATTGGGCACAACTTCACCGACTGTCGCTTCTGGAAAACTCTAAATTTGACACACAAAGACACCCCCGCTAACCCTGGAGTCAGATTTAGGCCAGATGAAGAAGGAAGTATTTTGGGTTGACGACAGAAGAGCCGTGAGCCTGCCATGCCATTGGCCAACATTCCCATTAGGAAGGATGTCGCATTCCTTCCCCTACGAGCCCACGCCAGCTCTGTTGTTGTGTTTTTGGTGTGCAGACAGCTGTGCTGTGCATTAACCATCCCAGGTTTATATTACACTCAGGCTGTTCAGAACAGGAAAGGCCCCGACTGCTATTTACAGACAGGCCTGAGCATCTAGGCCAGTGTGGTCCCAGGCCTTGAATGACATGGAAAAAGGCTCACATGCGAAGTGTTTAGTCTGACAGTATAAAATGCTACTGGTGTTTGTTCACCCAAATTAAAAATGTAAAATTATAGTAATAATAATAAGAAAAAGAATATACTATGTGAATGTTATTCTTCAAACTCAAATGATCCACAAAACAACCATTTTATCCAGACTAGTTCCTTACTTCTAGGCTGGACTGCTGTAACCCATTATTATCAGATTCTTCTAAAAGTTCCCTGAAAGACTGTCTTTTTGACAGTACCTAGGTCCTGTCAAAATGATGACAGGACCTAGGTACTGACAGGGACTAGAAAGAGAAAGCATATTTCTCCCATACTGGTTTCTCTTCATTGGCTCCCTGTTAAATTCTGAATCAAATTTAAAATCTTTCTGATCACATACAAGATCTTGAATAATCAGGCCCCCTTTTATCTGAAAGACATCATAGTACCATATAACCCCAATAGAGCAGATGGAGGTTTAAAATGTTCCTTTCTAATCAACTTATAGTTAGGGCTGGACTCTGAGCCAGGTTCTCCCAGAGGTTTCTTCCTTTTAAGAGAGAGCTTTTCCTTCTCTGTGTCGCCAACTGCTTGCTCACAAGGGGGTCATCTGCTCGTTAGGGTTTCTTTCTAATATTGTTGGGTCTTTACCCTACAATGTAAAGTGCTTTGAGGTGACTGTTGTTGTAAATTGGCACTATATAAATAAAACTGAAATGAATGAGTGCAGACTAAAGACTTCTGTGGACTCCTTCAGACATAATTATATTTATGTTTATAATTTTTGTTAACCCATTAACCAAAGGCCAGTAGTTGGTAAAATTCAGTTCATTAGATTTCTCAGAGAAGCTAAAGAGGCTCATGTATGAAGTATGTCTCCTTAATATAAATCTTCACCACTAACTTTACCTACTTTATATATTCACTCTCATTATAACAACAGAAGTGAGCTATATAAGCTTCAGTGTGGCTTGATCACATGTAGTTTAGAACTACTGAGCAACATAGGGAAACAAACTCATCAGCGTTTAGTAGGAACATATATACACCAAGGAATGAACAAGTTTCCTACCGCTGATGTACGGTGCCAATGAGATGGTTTTGAGGTGTGTACGCTCTCATCTCCATCAGGCAGCAGCCGAGGCAACAGGCGTCCACCCTTAGGGGCCTTTCAAAATAAAAGACCTGACTGCCCTCACTGTCAAAGCCTTTCAGGGTGTAGGCCCGAGCTGGACCACAGCACTGCAGACACACACAGGAGCTCTCTAAGAGGAGGGAGAAGAGAACAAATGCTGAGAATATGCTGAAAAACATCAGTAGTTATAAGAGTAAGAAACGTGGTGGAACGGGACAAATACCTTCCACAGCCACAAATGACTGTGACCTGTTGCCTTCTGTAGTGATGTTATAGATCCTCCTAGAAACACACTGAGGACCTGCAGTCAGGATGTGGTATTTTCTTAACGCACACACATCTAAACAAGAGACCTGTTTTATGTAAAAGAAAAAAAGTAGTCCTCCTCACCTTGCAGCTCTGGCTTGGCAGTGATATGAATCTCACTAGCAGTTTCCAGCACAGACATAAAGCATGATCTCACTGCACTACCAGTCTTCTTCACCGGTGGCTGAATCAAGCCATTCTCAGCAGTCTGGCCCAAAAGCTGCTCTTCAGATTCCAGGTCAGGAGGCATTTGGTGGGATTTGGGTGGAGTGCTTTGAGTCTGGCACTCACAAGAGGGTCCACAGCGGTTGTGAAAAGCCCTGAAGACCATGTGAATGTGCTTCTCTCGCTCAAGTCGTCCAAAGGGAAGAGGCTGATTGATCACAGCTGACATGGTCTCAAACTAAAAAATGAATCATACCGAAACCTTAAAGAAAACATTTGAAGGATGGATGCTTTAACTCATACCCAGTCTATTGGCTGCAAGCAAGTTACTTAAATAAAGTATAGTAGGTGCTTAAAGAAGAAAATACACACACATCTTTCATTATTTACAAACCAAATCCCCCCAAAAGTTGTGAAAGTGTGTAAAATGTAAATAAAAACAGAACATGGCAGCCACATGTATTAAAAAAAGCTGTGAGCAGGGCCATGTTTACCCTGTGTCGCATCCCCCCTTCTTTTAATAACAGCCGGTAGACATCTGGGTACTGAGAAGACCACCTGCTGCACTTTTAGAAAAGCTACGATCCTATCTGCTCAGCACTGCTGGATCTTTGTCATATTTTTGTTTAATGGTGCAATTAACCTAATTAGTTGTAAAATGTTCCTCCAGCTGTTTCCTTTGAATACCACTTACTTTCCCAGCCTTTTGCCCACCCCAATTTTCGGAGCCATTTTCTCAGTTTAAACGTTTGATATGTTTTCATTGTTCTATTGTTAAGAAAATGTAGGTTTATCAGATTTTCAAACAATTGCATCACAACTTTTTGGAGCTGGTGTTGTGCCTTAAATACTAAATATTAATCTGACAAAATGATAAAACATCCACTAAAACGGTCTCAAAATCATAGCAAATAGATCTTTATCATGTAAGCTTGTAATTTAAAATTTAATAAATTTTTATGTTGTGATCAAAAGTTTGACAGGGGAAAAAAGGAGCTTTCCTTCTCCTGTACTGTGTTTCTTGGCAGTTCCCTGGTATCAATATTAACATCCTCCTTGCAATAGTAGCCAGCTTAATACTTTTTCACATTCAGATCACACGTTAATATTCCTGTCTCACCCAGCCTGCAGCTGCAAGTAGCAGCTCACAGCAACAAACCGAAGCTCCCTTGTATAAACATTGATAGCTCAAGAGTTTCTATACTGGCTAAGATCTTCCTGGAGCCTTTACTTATCATGTATTTCCAATAAGAGATTAGAAAGAAAGAAAACAGCACAAAAGAGCATCACAGGCCTGCTTACCATCAGTGTTCACCCTCCACAGACTCGGATCATCTAAGTGCTACGAGCAAGAAACCAGGCGAGCCTTCATGAGTTATCATTATCTGGAGGGACTAAGCCTTCTTACCCCCCGTGTGTTTGTGTGGCTATTCACATAGCAGTGTTTGGCTTTGTGAGTGTTTTCGGACTTCAGCTCCATCTCAAAACGACTCTGTTTCCATCCCAACCAGCCGGATCTGCCTTTTGTTGGGGTAGAAAGGCACCACTCAGTCATGTAATTGAAATGCTTCCAGAGGAGGGGGGCTGTGCAGGATATTTGTGCTTCAGTGGCAGGTTTGGGAGTGGAGGGGTGGGGGCCGAAACTTTCCACTGGCCTCAAAAATGACTCAGTCACAAAAATCATACAATTAAAATGCTTTTATTGATAAAAAGAAACATTCTCGTACAACGAATGAAATCTGTGGTCGACACCATGTCTCGTGGCTTGTGCCCATAGTTTTGTTAAAAATGAACAGCACTTAGAGCAAACACTGAGATGTAAGTAAGGAGACCATCTTCTACAGCATTAAATGCAACACAAACAATCTCAACAGCCAGGACAGCTGATACAGTAAGCATTCACACAATGGTGCAGTGGATTGTACTTGCTTCTGTGATCGTCCGCAGCCCCACAGCAGGCACATGTGCAGAAAACACATACAGCTGCATCTTCTCCATTCTTTGTATCATAGTCATTAGTGAAAGATCACTAATGAAGGCTGTCAGATTCTCACTCTGGCTAAAGTGATAACATCAAACATTTTCTCCCTGGTTCACCCTAAGGCGTTTGTTTCCATTCCTGCTACAGCAGTAATGTTGTGTAGTGGAGGGAGATACTTCTTTGGATCCCCAGGAAAAGGTGTAGAGGGCGGCTGGTTGAAATGGCCCATCAAGAAGATGCCAATAGTGCCGATAAAAAACACCAACACCATGACAATAAAGCAGACCCTGTCGATGACACGGGCAACCAGGAACCATTCTTCATTTTCCTGAGGTTGAGTGAGATGATACATTGCTATTAGCTCTGGCATTCCCAACTAAGACCTCATCTAAATGTCCATTGCAAATGTGCAAAGAGTAAAATGGTTAAGCATACACTCTGGAAGTCATTCTGCTGTCTTGCAGTCTCAGCGATGTGTTTGCAGGAGGCCACACACTGCTTCAGCTCTGGACTGGCCTTTGCTAGACTATTAACAAGGTGCTGTGCTGTACCCCCCTCCAGCCCATCATCTGGAGTCATATATTCACAAAAAGCCATATATTTATGTGTTATATTTATGCATTTCAAAGGATAACCTAAACTGGCAAAAGTTTAAAAAAAAAAAAAAGTGTAACAAACTCTTTCAAATACTTACGTAGCTTCTCCAGCACTGATTTCATCAATTCATTTCTCCCTCTGAGTTTGTCAAACATGAGCTCAGACCGAGCTGTTTTCATTACGTATTCCTCCGCCTTAGTGATGACAGTGATAGAGCTGCGGCGACGGCAGGGAACCAGGTGGACACCATTCCTGCCTGCAGACACAGTTTCACCATTTCTCATTTCTGATGCATGGCCGGCGTTTGGTGTCCAGGGTTGCATCTGCATCCTAAGTAGGCGAGGCAGGATGTTTAGGAAGATCTGAGGGTGACACGGTGTTTAAGATGAAATCACAGCTAAATAGACGTGTTCCCTTCATTGAGCAGCTTTAAAAGATATTCAAATGATTCAGACACAGCCTCACCTTCCGGACTTTGTCTGCCATTTTGTGAGTGTTTGGGGTTCTCAGGGATACGTTGAGGACTACGACACTGTTTATCACTACCATGGTGGTCACCGACATCACAAACATCAGATACCTGCAGTCAAATGTTCGTATCATTTTCAACACAAACCTAAAACTCTGAGCTGAAATCTGGAAGTCAGCCGCTTACTTTCCAATAAGAGGCACCGCTTGAGAAGTCTCTGGAACCTTCTTAGCAATGAGGAAGAGGAACACAGTCTGGCCCAGAAGAGTCACAATAGACATGGTGCACTTCTGACCACCAGCTGTAAAACCAAAACCAGCACTCAGTCAGGGTGGTGCAGTTTTGACCTAATGTATGCATCAACGGCTAGATCGTCACTGTATTTCTATGATCATAGGTCAAAGTATGAATAAAATCCTGACTCACTGTCTACGTACATCAACAGGCACAACATTATGACAGGTAAAGTGAATAACACTGATTATGTCTTCATCATGGCACCTGTTAGTGGATGGGCAATATATCAGGGACCAAGTAAACTTTTTGTCTTCAAAGTTGAGGTTAGAAGCAGGAAAAATGTGCAAGCATGAGGATTTGAGCAAGTTTGACAAGGGCCAAATTGTGATGGCTAAACGACTGGGTCAGAGCATCTCATATTTTGCAGCTCTTATGAGTTGTTACTGGTCTGCAGACCAAATGTGTTCCAGGGAAGAAACAGTGGTGAACCAGCAACAAGGTCATAGGCAGCCAAGGCTCACTGACACATGGGCAGCAAAGGCTGGCTCGTGGGGTCCAATCCAGCAGACGAGCTCCTGTAGTTCAAATTGCAGAAGAAGTTCATGCTGGTTCTGATAGAAAAGTGTTAGAATGTACAGTCCATTGTAGCTTGTTGCATACAGGGCTTCAGACCTACATATTCACTCCAAAATTCCTTATAGTTCAATTCAAATACATTTTATTTATATTGCAATTACAACAACAGTCGCCTCAATGTGCTTTAATTGTAAAGACCCTGCAATTATACAAAGAAAACCGCAACAATCAGACAACACCCTATGAGCAAGCACTTGGTGCCAGTGGGAAGGCAAAACTCCCTTTTAAAAGGAAGAAGCATTGCATAGCTGCATGATGCCCCCAGTCTAATGGGCATGTGCACATCAGAACTGGATCACAGAGCAATAGAAAAAGGTGGCCATGTGTGATGAATCACTTTTTCTTTTACATCACATGGATGGCCGGGTGTGTGTGCATCACTTACCTGGGAAACACCTGGCACCAAGATGCACTATGGGAAGAAGGTGAGCTGGTGGAGGCAGTGTTATGCTTTGAGCAATGTTCTGCTGGGAAACCTTGGGTCCTGCCATCCATGTGGATATTACTTTGACATATACCACCTATGTAAAGATTGTTGCAGACCATGAAAAAGCTTTCATGGAAACAGTATCCCCTGATGGCTGTGGCCTCGTTCAGCAGGATAGTGCTTCCTGACACAAATGTTTCAGGAATACTTTGAGGAGCACAAGAACAGGTTTGAGGTGTTGACTTGGCCTCCAAATTCCCCAGATCTCAGTCCAGTCGAGGATCTGCAGGATGTACTGGACAAACAAGTCCAATTCGTGGAGGCCCTGCCATGAAACATTTTAGGACTAAAGGATCTGTTGCTAACATCTTGGTGCCAGATACCAGAGCACACCTTCAGGGCTCTAGTGGAGTCCAGCAAAAGATGGACCACCACAGTACTAGGCAGATAGTCATGATGTTATGCCTGATGGGTTTATGATCACACTTTACACAAAGTAAGAAGAAGAACCTTTGGCAGGTAAGTAGTAGACTAGCAGGCCGAGGGAGGAGAAGAGGACACAGGGAGCAATAATGTTAATGATGTAGAAGACAGGCTTCCTCTGAATGATAAGAAAGAAGACCAGCTCCTGATACTCCAGGTCATCTTTGGTGTACTGAGTGTTGATCACCTTCTTGGCTGGTCTGTGTCTAATAATCCACTCTCCATTCTCTAAAAAACACAAAATAAAAGTCTTTAATAGTCTTTTATCACAAGAAAAAAAGTTTCTTCTTCTTTATATGAACCAATGGATGTCTTTATTGTGTTCACTAATTTCAAATCTATTCTTCAAATACCTGTAAAGGCCTCTGGGTCGATATCCACCCACTCTAATGTGACGTCATCTTCTTTTGTGAGAACCAGCTCGATCTCATTGGCGCTGTAAGTCTGCGAGCTGAACACATGGCACAGAACATGCGGTCAGAGTCGACCAGTCAACACCTTCGAGAGCAAGAAGGTGACATGACTGAAGGAAGCTGATTGCTGTTGATTTAGACACTCTGGATTCTTTTTACATGTCATGCATTGGCCTTTAGTTCAATTTTATTTATATAAGAAGAAATTACATAAAGGGTTGAGCCTATTATAATACAGAGAAAACCCCAGCAATGAGAAAACCCCCGATGAGCAAGCACTTGGTGACAGTTCGAAGGCAAAACTCCCTTTTAACAAAATACCTCCGGCAGCACCAGGCTGAGGGAGGGACAACCATCTCCCTTGACCGGTTGGGGGTGACAGACTTGTGATTGCTTGCGTTTTGTACAGATCAAGTCCCATCTGATCTCTTACCGGAAGACCATGGTGCAGTTCTGCCAGTCGAAGGGAAAATAGTTCACAGTGATGGCACAGGCGCTGTGGTAAATAGCAGGAGGCAGCCAGTACACACAGCCATCAGGAGACACCAGTGCATTGCAGTAAAGAGCTACCTCAAAATGTCCATCAATGCTACGGACCAGAAGGAAGATGAGAAAGATGGTGTATGGTTTATCTGCAGTTTATTGCATACATTCGTGCACGCATGCACACATCAGGCCTCATTCATGTAAATTTCACACGTTCAGGCTTGTAGATTTATCTTAGATAAGAGAAACTTTACCTGGAAACAAATACAGCTGTCATCATAATGTGATAATATGTGTTTTTAAATGGTTGCAATAGTATTAAAAACTAAATCTGCCTCTAACAGTGTGAGAGTGCAGAACCATGACTTCTTTTACCTAAACTCTGCCCTTTGCTTCCATTTTTGCACCACTGTGCTTCTCCTCGGCGAGCACAGAGGAAAGGAGATTTTAGAAACACGATGTAATGTTTACCTTTCACTAGGGTTGGTGCAGCTCAAAGAAAACAGAACCGAAGTTTTGTTTAAAAAAAGGCCTGCTACATCTTTGGTGAATGCTTTCTTCGCCTCCCACATGTTGTTTGGTTTACTTTCAAAGTACTTTAGGTGCATTTACAACGCTTTAAGCAGACTAGTTAGTCCAGAGAAACCTGATTTAACCCACAGGTCTTCTGAATAAACAAATATCAGAATCAACTATGATTTGATGGGTGATTGTATGAATGCATTTTTAATGTTCCCATTTATCCTGAAAATGAAT